TCAGCTGAGGGCTCTTCTCAGCACATTCACAGAATGGTTTTCCCTGCCAGCACATCCGCAGGACAGTTTATCTCATGGCTGCCTCCCCGTGCAAGCACGGAGCAAAAACGTGGCACTGCTCACAGCTCCCCCAGAGGCTGCTCGCTTGGTGGCTCTGGCTTGTGAACCTGCGGTCGAGTCTGTGTGTCCGTGTAAGAAGTGTGACTGGAAGGGTGGTGAGAGGTGGGAGGAAGACTGAAACTCAGGCTGAGGCTGGAGAGGAATGCAGGACATGAATAGCTGGGATGGTGCAAGGGGTGACAGACGTGAGCAGTGCTGCAGAGATATTCCTGCTCGGCATGTGCCTGACTCCAGCACTATCAGTTTTTGCTCTGTAGAGTCTAAATATATAATCCATCATGCTCTGGCATCTGGGTGATAAATAGTGATAAATAATGTAGTGGCTGGGGACGGAGGGAGAAAACTGCTCCAGGGTGGAGCTGACCCCTGGGATGTCTGGGGCAGCCACGGGGTAATAAGAGTGAGGAGGGACCAGCTCTCAGGACAGAGGGAGCTTGTTCTCTATCAAGCATTGCAGCTGAGGGTGACTGGGCGGGTCTTGGGGTTGGTTTCCTCTGTCCCCGCTGGAAGTGGAATAGTTCATTTGTGCTGAGCAGTTGGTCACCTTGACCCAGTGAATATATCACCCTGTCCCTTCACCCACAGGCAGGGCTCTGTGTCCCCGAGCAGTCATCATGCAGCACTGAAAATTGGCTCTGCCTGAAGTTCTCTCTAGGAATTGGACACGGTCCAGGCTGCTGGCGACAGTATGAATGGATGCTAGTGCAGCCAGGGCAGGGTGCGTGTGTGCGTGCACTTGGAAATGAGGAGACAACAACTTGCCTGGCTTGGAAAGGGCTGACGTGGGCACCAAAAGGGATGGGTCCTGGGGGGACACTGCCTGTGTTTGACACTCATCCTGGGCTGCAGGGGCTTTGGGCAGAGGCTGGCACAGAACATGCTGAAGAAGCATTAAGCCAGCAGGGTTTTAATCCATCCTCACTGCTCCTTTCCTGCTTTTCCTGCTCCTCCATCTGTGCAAGAGGAATTAACGCACATCCTGGGAGTGGATTAGATTGCTCAAACCGTGACCTCCTCATCTGTGCCTTCTGGGGACGGGTAGCCTTTGTCCGATCCCTTTTCTGTCTCTCCAGTTTGGGCAGGGATCGTGAGTGCCAGCTGCCAGCAAAGGCCTGGTGACGTGCTGCCTCTCACCCCGCGGGACAGCCCTTTGCCGAGCGTACATGACACTGACACTGACACAGCCAGCAGGGCTGGCAGGGTGGAGCGAGCCTGCTCCCCGGGTTTGGTGCTTCCAGCACTGTTCATTTGCCTTTTGCTGATGCCTTGTGAGTGTTGGCAAGCCTTGCTGTCCTGTGTTCGGTGGCGGCTCAGGCAGCTGTTGGCACACCAGGGAGAGCAGCCAGGAGCCCAGAGTACCTGTTTCTCCGAGCCCCAGCGTGCTGCAACTTGATGGCAGTCTGGGGCAATGGGTCACAGCTCCGCATCCCACGCCTGCATCCTCTTCGATTCTCCGTGAGTTGGGGGCTGGCTTGGGGACCCTTCATAGCTGTTGATGGGATGTCCCTTCTGAGTATTGCTAGTTACTTGTAATCTATTTATTTTCAATACATAACTTCCTGTGGTTTCCCATTCATTACTATGTTATTTTTCTGTTGGACTCTTCCTCGCCCCCCCTCCAAATAATTTCTTCACTATTTAGTTACTACATTTTTTAAAGCACAGTATGTGTCAAGCTGCCTTAGATATAGCCTGGAAAGGGAACTAAGTATCACAAATTACTTGTAATTAGTCTTTGTATTAAATAAGAGTGCTTAAAATGTCATTGTGAAGAAAAGAAAATGAGCTTGATAAAGTCTATTTTGTGACTGGATTCAATTTGTCAAAGGTGGTATTAATTAATTCTGCTGAATTTACAAGTCGTTTTGATTGCAGATTCACTGTGGAAAAAGTATTTAGGTGTCCAGTGATATTTAAAATAAAAAGAATAAATTTAGTCTCCAAAGAAAACTGATTTTTTTTTTTTTTTTTTACTGTTGGAAGAAAAAGTTATCAGTGCTCCTTTGACTATGAAGTCTGATAATGTAGCTGTTTGTGTAATGCAAGAACATGACATTGTGGCACAACTATAAAGCTCAAAGTGATGTTGAAATATTACGTATGTAATTAAAAAGCAACAGTAACATTTGGGAGCCAACATGTTTAATGTATTTCACTTTCATCTATTAGAAATCTCTGGCATAAGTTGCAATTCTTTCAGATCATTATAAAGAGGTTTAAATTATGTATTTCTTTAGAAATAAGTGAACTGGTGGAAATATGTCTGCTGGAAATACAGCAGAAAAGTCTAGGAAGTTGCTGGAGTGTGTTGAAGAACTTCCTGACACAGTGGCTGAGGGAGCCAACTAGGGAAGGTTCACATTGGCCTGTCATTTGTGAGCAGAGAACTGGTGGATGATGGGGTGGCTGGAGACTGCCTTGTGCACAGTGCTCACAAAATGATTAGAGTTTTTGATTCTCACAGAAATAAGGAGGCAGGGTCAGCAGAACTGCCGCCTTAGACTTGTGGAGGGCAGACTTCGGCCTGGTTAGGGAGCTGGCTGACCGTCCCCTGAGAGGCAGTCCTAAAGGACAAAGGAGCCCAGGAAGGCTGGACATTCTTCAAGAAGAAAATCTTAAAGGTGCGGGAGCAGGCCCTCCCCATGTGCTGAAAGACAAGCCAGTGGGGAAGAAGAGTGGCCTGGCTGAACAGGGAGCTCTGGCTCAAACTCAGGGGTAAAAAAGAGTGTATCGCCTTTGGAAAAAAGGGGAGGCAACTCAAGAGGGCTACAAGGATACTGTGAGGTTAGGCAGGGAGAAGTCTAGAAGGGTCACAGCCCAGCTAGAACTTAATCAGGCTACTGCTGTAAAAGACAATACATATGTATTTACGAGTAACATCAGCACCAAAAGAAAGGCTAAGGATAATATCTGTCCTTAACTGAATGCAGGGGGAAAACAGTGACAAAGGATGAGGAAAAGGCTGAGGTACTTAATACCTTCTTTTCCTTAGTCTTTAACAGCAAGACCAGATGTTCTCAGGGTACTCAACCCCCTGAGCTGGGAGACAGGGTTAAGGAGCAGAATTAAGCCCCCTGTAATCCAAGAGGAAATGGTTGGCAACCTGTTATACCACTTAGACACATGCAAGTCCGTGGGGTTGGGTGGGATCCCCCCAGTGGTACTGAGGGAGCTGGTGGAAGTGTCACTTTCAGTCATTTACCAGCAGGTAATCCAGGGAGGTCCAGTTGACTGGAAGTGAGCAAATGTGACACCCATTTACAAGAATGGCCAGAAGGAGAATCCAGGGAACTGCAGGCCTGTCAACCTGACCTCACTGCCAGGGAAGGTCATGGGGGAGACCATCTTGAGTGCCATCACATGGCAAGTACAGGACAACCAGGCAATCAGACCCAACCAGCATGGGTTTAGGAAAGGCAGGTCCTGCTTGACCAACCTGATTTTCTGTGACAAGGTGGCATGGTTAATGGATGAAGGAAAGACTGTGGATGTTTTCTATCTGGACTTTAGTGAAGCCTTTGACACCGTTTCCCACAGCATTCTCTGAGAGAAACTGGCTGCTCAGGGCTTGAGCAGGTGCACAGTTCCCTGGATAAAAAACTCTGGATGGCTGGGCCCAGAGAGTGCTGGGGAATGGAGCTGTCAGCTGGTCACAAGTGTGTTCACCAAAGCTCAGTACTGGAGTCAGTTCTGTTTAATATCTTTATCAGTTATCTTGACAAGAGGATTGAAGGCACTCTCAGTTCTCAGATGACTAAATTGAGCGGGAATGTTGATATGGTTGAGGGTAGGAAGGCTCTGCAGAGAAATCTGGACAGGCTGGCTCAACGGACAGTTGTATGAGATTCAACAAAGCCAAGTTCCAGGTCCTGCAGTTGGGTCACAACAACCCCACACTGCTCTACAGGCTGGGGGAAGAGTGACTGGAAAGCTGCCTGGTGGGAAGGGACTTGGAGGTGCTGGTTGATAGCAGCTGAACATAAGCTAACACGTCCCCAGGTGACCAAGAAGGCCAATGGCATCCTGGCTTGTGTCAGCAATAGTGTGTCCTGCCAGCAGGACCAGGGAAAGTGATTGTCCCCTTGTACTCTGCACTGGTGAGGTCGCACCTCAAACCCCGTGTTCAGTTTTGGGCCCCTCACTACAATACACTACAGCTGAGTGCCTGGAGTGAGTCCAGAAAAGGTCAATGGAGCTGGTGACAGGTCTGGAGCACAAGTCTAATGAGGAGCAGCTGAGGGGGCTCAGCCTGGAGAAAAGGAGGCTCGGAGGAACCTTATTGCTCTCCACAACTACCTGAAAGGAGATAGTAGCCAGGTGGGGATCAGCCTCTTCTCCCAGGTAACAAGCAACAGGACAAGAGGAAATGGCCTGAAGTTGTGCCAAGGCAGATTTAGATTGATATTAGGAAACATTTCTTCACCAAAAGTGTTGCCAAGCATTGGAATAAGTTGCCCAGGGAAGTGGTGAAGTCACCGTGCCTGACATGTAGATGTGGCACTTGGGGACATGGTTTAGTAGTGAACTTTGTAGTGCTGGGGTAGTGGTTGGACTGGATGATCTTCAAGGTCTTTTCCAACCTAAACGATTCCATGGTATGCACCTGAATTTTGGTTTTACTGATTAAATTGTGAATTGAGGGATGAAACAGCTGGATGCACACAGAGAGGCTGTTCTGCCTTTGTCTTCTCTCCAGCCTGCCAGTCATGGCTGTGACCGTAGGAACCTGTGACCTGGTAGCAGGCAGGAGTTGCTGATCCTCTCCTGCTCCATCTCCAAGCCTGGGCTGCTTGTTGTTGGGTGCAAATACCCACCTGGGTAAGTCTCCTTTTCCTCTGAAATCCTGGACCAGCTCTGACTGCCTCTTCTCCCCTCTGCAGGGTGGTGAAAGAAGAGATCTCAGATGACAATGCCAAGCTTCCCTGCTTCAACGGCCGGGTGGTGTCATGGGTAAGCAAACCCCTTGCTGTGGTATCTCTCTGCCTGTGTCTGCCCTCTGAAAACCACCATTTGGATGTGTAGTGCCGAGTAAGGCACAGGGACTGCTCCGTGCTGTCGGTGTGCTGACTGCTAACACAGTTGATGAGCTGGATTCCCACACTCCAGTCCCTCAGCTGCAGAAGGGGCTCTGTGGTGCTGGGTGCCCTGTGCCGGGGAAGATGTGGGATGCCTCTGTTAGAGAGCTCATGGTAACTGATGCCTGGCAGAGGTTGTGGTCATGCCCTGTCCACAGCATAACCCGTGTGCCCCTATGGCAGGGTCAGCTTTCCAAGGGAAGTCCCGCTCCAGTGACTGGTGCAAAGGGCTTAAGTGACTTTAGTGCTGGTGAAGCGGACTGGATTTGACTGCCCTGAAGACTAAAGGTACTGCCTGGGCAGCTGCAGGACAAGCTTTTCCCTCTGTGCCGTGCCATGAACATGCTCTGTCCCCTGCCTGCATGCCTCCCTCAGCCCCTAGGGGACCCTCTGTTAGTGGGGGGAGAGGACATTCAGTCTCCACAGCCCATCATCCCGTTTTTCCTGTGCTGAGCTGCAGTTTGTGTTGGTGGGGATGTGTGGATCTACACCAAGAGCAGAGCCAAGACCAAAGTGCCTTCTTCCAGAGGCCTCCAGATAGCCCCTCAGCAATTCAGGCTAGGTCAGACCTAATTCTGCTTCTATCCCTGCATCAGACAGTGAGGTCTCAGCTGGGGGGCTGTGAGGAGGGGATGACAGGGGCGGGCAGGTGCCCACTGCTGGCCTGGCTACTGCTGGGATTCCAGGCAAGGGAACAGAGTGCAGGGTGGGCTCCTGCCTGAGCCTTGCACCGGGAGGAAAGGATGTGCTGGGCTCTCACACAAAGAGCAGGGGCCTGATGCGGGCTGTCCTCCCTCTAGCGGTTATCCAGGCCCTTCGGAAAACAGCCTGTGTCCAGCTCTTGGCCACCATCCATTCCTCTGCATTCATCCCGCTGCTACTGCATCTGCACCAAGATGTCTCCCCACCCTGCCTTTTCCAGCTGCCTTTTGCTTTCACCCGCCCTATGGGGAGTCCCAGAGTCTCTGAATCCTTTCCCTTACTTTTTTATTACTTGGTGTGCTTTTACTTGTCCTTCGTGCATCCATGCAGCTGCTGGCTTTCCTTGTAGGATCTCTGTGGCTGCTCAGTGTGATTGACATGGATCTGGTGTGGGTGGCATGACCACCATGCTGCTGCTCTGCTGGGCTGGATCCTTGCAGGGAACTTGTGCCCAAACTGGCTCTTGTGCACAAAGGCGTGATGGCAGTCCCAGAGACCTTCATGCACAGCTGATGGTCCCTTTTTCTATCTGTGCTGAGATTCTCCTTGTCCATGGGTGGTTTGGGGCCTGGGGGGCAGCACTTGCTTTGCTGCTTCTGACAGACAGGCTGAGATGAGGCTATTTCAGGAACACAGTTACTAATTTTAGTGACCGGGAAAGACGGGGGCTTGAATCCAAGTGAGTATTTCCTGACAGTATAAGAGGGAGGAAAAGTGCAGGGTGGTGATCAAAACCTTCCCTGGAGGAAATCCCAGCTTTGGGAGTGTTAGAGGAAGACAGCATCAGTCCTCCCAGCTTGGGAACACCCCCTCTACTCTCCTCACTGCTGTTTGACAGATGCCTGTGGCTAGTTCCCTCTGTCCAGATCTATTTGCCTGATCTTGCATTGAGATTTTCAAGCATAAAGTGTTATATGACTTTTCCCTAGGCAATGCTGGCCACTTCCAGTATATCTGCTCCCATATGCTCCCGGGCAGTGGCTGCCAGAACAGGGATGTGGCCCTTAGGGAGTGGTATGTGTCCTGGGAAGACACGTCACTGGGAAGGTGCCAGGAGCAAAGCCAGGCATGTGCCTGGGGCTTGCTGGAGGGAGGGAGCTGAGCCAGTGTGAGACAAGAGCTGGTTAGACAATTGTGAGATCAGGAGCCGTTGGGCTTGTCCCGAGGCTTGTGGGACGGGCTCTGCAGCTTTTGACACCCCAGGCAGCTCTCTGCTCTGTCTGCTGCCTTGGCTGCGGCTTTTTCAGGGCGGCTTTGTCTTCCTTGCCCCAGCTACATCCCTGTCTCGGTTCCCAGTGCCTCTCTGGCAGTAGACCTCTCTCCCCCTGCCCTAATGATGATCTGTGGATTATCTTATCAACCCCTTATCAGGGTTTTCCCAGTTCTTGAAGGTGGGCAGGGCACAGCTCTTTCATCAGTGATGCTGGCATGCGCTCAAGACCTGTGTAAATGGGCTGTGCCTCCTGCACCTGAGTTGGCATCTGCTCCTGGCTCCATGCAGATGTGGTTCCCTCTCCAGCAAGCAGTAGTGCTGCCTCTGCACTGCCACTGGGCGTTATGGTTTGGGCAGCAGCTGTCAGCTCCTTTCCAGCCCATGTTTCATGATCCTCCTGTCCTTGACCCACAGTGGGGCATCCTTCACCTTAGATCTTTTCTGGGCCCTGTCACCTCTGCTCTGGGGGTCCTTGAATGCCTCTTTCAGGGAAGAGGCTTTTTATTGTCCCCTGTTATGATTAGATCCTGTTCATTACAGCTTGAAGAGGAGGGAGTGCAAACCTGGATAGGGAGCAGTATTGGGGAATAGCTCATTTGGACTATCCTGTTTCATTCCACTGGCAAGCCTATGGAAGCTCCACCTCGTTCCCTGAGCCCTGAAACTGGTGGTTTATTACAGAGACATAGATGTGGGTGTGCCTGGACTGCCCCACAATTATGGCTGGTATAGAGTTCCTGGGGTTTGACCCTTTCTTGAATTTCTGTACTGGGGAAACTGTTGAGTCCCCCAGAGGTTTGCTGGAGATTGTGCCCAAGCCAATAAGCTGGGCAAAGTTTGTGTGGAAGTCAGAAAAAGATCCTGTTTCAGGAATCTATTTCAAAGCCAGCCTCAGCCCTGAGCTCTGTTATCCCCAGCATGTGAGGGCTGGGGAGGTGAAAGTCGTGCTGGTCCCACCTTGAAGGCAGAGCTGTAGAGGCTGCTAAAATTGCGGAAGGGAATGACTGGTAGCTGGCTCTTCCAGTGTGAGAAGTACTGGGACGTGTGCTAAGGGTTACCTGAGTGTGTGGTGTGGGTGTGCAGGTGATATCAGAGTGTCCAAGCAGGGCTGTCAGCCACCTGGGCTTCACTGCTGGGTCAGGAATTCCTGAGCCACAAATAGCCGGTGTCTGGGAAGGCATGGAGAGGGAGTGTTGCTACATGCTTGGCCTGTTCCATACCCGCTCCTGGGCATCTTCTGTTGTCTGCCATGAGAGATGAGATCCTGGGCCAGGCAGGCTTTTGGCCAGCTCCTTTGGCCACTGTCGTACATGTTTTCCCAGTGCTGCAGCCGTTTCCTTCTCTGTCTCATCCCTCCAGCTGGTGTCTGCAGAGGGTTCCCACTCGGATGCTGGCTCGGTCTGTGCCGATAACCAGACAGAGCTGCCACCTTCCATGGAGCGCACAGGAGGAATTGGAGACTCCAGGCCCCCCTCTTTCCAGTAAGTTACCTGTCATCTGTCCTAGTTTCCAAGGGACACATTTGTTGTAATCCTGAGCAGGGGCTGGGATGCTCCTACGCAAATTGTCAGGGATCACAGCCAGCAAGGGGGGAGGAGGATGGGGCTGTGAGCAGATTCGAAGTGGAGCTGCATTATTCAACAAGCAAGGACATGCCGAAAATAGTGCAAGGAAGCTGGCAAAGAGCTGGCACAGTATGCCCAATCCTTTGCCCTGCACTCATAGATGTGCTATGGTTATTCATATCCCTCAAGAAGGAGACGGCTGATGGCTGGAAGCTTGTGCTGGCCAGCACAGAGGTGTAGAGAGAGCCTGCCCAAGTTGTTCCCTGTTGGACATATTTGTTCCTTTTATCTCATCACAGCCCTAACACCGGGGGGAGTCGGGAAAACCTGGACAATGAGACAGAAACAGACTCAGTGGTGTCGTCGCAAAGGGAACGACCTCGTCGGACAGATGGGCCTGAGCATGGTGAGTGTTGGTAACATGGCAAGAGCTCTGCAGGGCATGGCTGGGGCATGGTGGGGGCACCAGCTCCAGACTTGGGGCAGCTTTCTCTGCTTTGCAGAACCTTACCAGCATAGAAGGGCTGTTTTATGGCACTTAGAAGGGCTGTAGCCTCACACTGGAGGCAGGAGTTAACACCTGTGTTGCATCAGAACTTTGGGACCAAAGGAGATGTCTCCTGTAGAAGCCTCAAGTGGAGGCAGTAGTACCTCAGTCCTTTGTAGTTGAAAAGCAGAGTGTGCTGTAGCCTTGCCACTCCATGCTGCTTCTTGCTCTACCAAGGAAAGAGCTGCAAGTTTTCTACAAGTTTGGCAGCATTGCTTCTAGTGGCCCATCAGCCTCTTCCCCATCTGCTAGTAATAAAAGTATCCCACAAGAGGTGGATCTGATCTCAGGGTGGACTAGGAGCTGGATGGCACTAGATGGGATTGTCTGATGACCAGATTTGTTCTGAGAAGGCTGCCATGAGCCCTGCTTAGGGGAAGGGGTTGTCTCAAGCACACTGAGTCTTGTCTTTTCATAGCACCCAGGGTGAATGGGACAGTGAAGGGAGAGCGGCGCCGAGACCTGGGCGGGTACGAGAGCTCCTCCACTCTCATGAGCAGTGAGCTGGAGACCACCAGCTTCTTCGATTCAGATGAAGATGACTCCACCAGCAGGTAGGAGAGCTTAGGTCCTGGAGAAACGCTAACTTTCCCCTTCCTCCCAGCGCAGAGAGATGCCGTTGCAGGGCACAGTAATCCTGGGCTCAGACTTACCTCTGTCTCACCCAGCAGCCCTCTCTACTATTGTCTGTCCCCCATGTGCATGTTCTCCCCTCTGCCCTGCAGTCCTGTATTCCTTGTGCTATTTCCATGGCTCTCTTGCTGTCAGAGCCACCACCCTGGCAGCAAGAGAGCTGACTCTTATTTTTGCCTGCAGATTTAGCAGTTCAACAGAGCAAAGCAGTGCTTCCCGTCTCATGAGGAGGCACAAGCGGCGCCGGCGGAAACAGAAGGCTCCACGCATCGAGCGGGTACGCAGGGAGGGGCCAGGGATCCTGGGGAGGGAAGTGCAGGGCAAGGTGGGCTGCCTGGTGGATCCCTCTCAGGGATTCAGCTGTGTTTGTTGTGGTCACAACTTGTGACAGTCCAAGTCTCCAAGAGACTTTATTAAGTGCTGTAAACATTTTCTGGGCCAATGTAGCCACAAGAGCTGGGACCACAGGCCTTGTCCTGGCTGTGGAGAGGTCATAAGGACCATGGCTGATGTTCTCTGGCTCTGCAAAGCTCCCAGCATAAGAGTGGAGTTGTGGGTGGGGGCTGTGGTGCCACAGGGAGTGGCAGAGAGGAAAGACAAGTGGAGGAAGCTGGGGCTGGGAAAGTTGCTGAGGCACAGGAGGACATCTCACGTTTCACTTACGTTGCAGTCATCGTCCTTCAGCAGCATCACAGACTCCACCATGTCCCTGAACATCATCACAGTCACGCTGAATATGGGTGAGTGGGAGGTGTGCGTGGAGCCTGCAGTCCTTCCAGAGCGGGATTGGGTGGTGGAGAGGGAACTGGGGAGGGGGCAAAGAGGACACATGGAGGAGGAGTAAGGAGATGGATTCTGTAGAAAAGTGACTTGTCTTTAAGCGCTGGTCTCTCAAGAGTTTCTTTATGTCCCAGCTCATCTGGGACAGGGGTGCAAGCCACCATAGTTAGTACGTGGTTTGTCTGAGCTTAGGTCTGGTTGTGCCTGCAGCTTTGTGGTGTCTTACTGCTTTCTCTTTCCATTCCTGCAGAGAAATACAACTTTCTGGGCATTTCTATTGTGGGACAGAGCAATGAGCGTGGCGATGGAGGCATTTACATTGGCTCTATCATGAAGGGTGGCGCTGTGGCAGCTGATGGCAGGATTGAGCCAGGGGACATGCTCTTGCAGGTACTTCACGCCCACATATCTCCATCTTTGGGCCTGGGAAAGCAGTAAGAAAAGACCCAGAAGCCTCCCTGCAAATTTTGGCAGGTTAAATCCAGGAAGCTGTGCTTGAAAGAGGGAAGCTGAGTCACTGCTGAGCTGAGTGGGGAGCTCAGCCTCTGGTCACATCTCTGGGACTCACTTCTTTGCATTGTTTGCAGGTAAATGACATCAACTTTGAGAACATGAGCAACGATGATGCTGTGCGGGTGCTGAGGGAGATTGTGCACAAACCGGGGTAAGTATTTGGGTTGTTCCTTACCTCCAGGGACAGCTGTACAGTGTGTGCTTGGGGTGTGTGAGTCATGTCTTCAGCCACCTCTGCCAGTGGCTCTGTAGAAGCTCAGAACTTAGGTTTTTGGTGTTGCTTTGATTCCTGGGTTTTCATTCCCAAAGCAAGAATTGGGGCCAACAGAACGGTGGGGAATTGGGGTCTGTGCCCCTTTCTTTGTGGGAATTCTGGGTCCCTGCTCACTACAGGGCAGTTGGAATAGATGACATTTAAAGGTCCTTTCCAACACAAACTGTTCTTTGATTCTCTATTCTATTTGGGTCATCAGCAACCCTCAGCCAGGGTCATGTCATTTTGTTCACATCACTAAGGAAACCTACAGCTAGATTGAAACAAGGGCAGTTTACTGCCAGCTTCTCCCTGTCTCCCAGGAGAGAGCCAGCCCACAGGATCTGTCTGTCATGCAGGGGTTTGTGCCACCAGGCTCTGGTTCTAACTCTCACCCTTTTGTTGCAGGCCCATCACCCTGACGGTGGCTAAGTGCTGGGACCCCAGCCCACGGGGCTGCTTCTCGTTACCCAGGAGTAAGTGGATAGCTGACCCACCCTTAACGCTGGTGCCCAGCTCATGTGAGAGCCCTGCCTTAAGCACTTACTTGGTTGTTGTCTTGTTCTTCCCCTGTGTGTTTGACTCCATGTGGCACTGAATTGGGGTTTGATGGGGTACAGCTCTCCTTTTAGGAGGCTGATATGTCCTATTCCCAGACCAAAATGCCCATAAGCCCAGCCCTCCTTCCCACATCACGCTGGGGACGCGTTTCACTGGGGCAGGGGGGTCACTTGCTCGGGGCGCCAGAGGAAAGAGAAACCCCTCCTTGAGCCATAGGAGGATCTCTCCCTCTGCACCTCTCCTGCTGACCCTCCCTCTCTTCTTTCTCTCCCAGTTGCTCCCCAGCGGATCTGGGCTGGGCCAGACTCTCCATGCTCGGATCCGGGTGAGTCCCGGCAGATACTGGGGATGGAATGGGCTGTGCTGAGTCCCTGTCCCTCCCCAGAGGTTGTTTTGGTGATGCGATCATTTCTTCCAGCTACTGACTGACTCTTTCTTTTCTGGCAGGTGAGCCCATCCGGCCCATCGACCCGGCAGCCTGGGTGTCTCACACAGCAGCGATGACTGGCACCTACCCAGCGTACGGTATGAGTCCATCCATGAGCACAATCACTTCCACCAGCTCCTCCATCACCAGCTCCATCCCAGAGACCGAACGTAAGTCCTTGTGCCTCCGTGCTCTGCCCACTGCACGGCTCTTCACCTTCACTGTGCTGTGAAGGGAGCAATACATCTGCCTGGGGACAGCTGGGGTGGGCGAGATCTGCCCTGCCAAGGGACTGGGAAGAAGGCAGCTCTTGACAGGCTGGCACTTGGATCAGTGGGAGTTCTGCCTGGGTGAAATAATACCACATTTTTCAGCTTTCTCTGTGAGGAGAATAGAGGAGCTTGGGTGCAATCAGGAGCTGTGGCAGATGCAGAAGAAAGGCTAAGACCAGTCAGGGTTAGCGTTTGAGATTGCAAGGCCAGAGGGATTCAGCATGTCCCCGGAGCAATTGCTCTCCCAGACAGCAGATAGGGCAGGATGGAGGAGGCAGCTGGAAGCAAAGAGCCTAGCAGTGGGGCAGGGTCCTGCTGAGCACAGGGCTCTTTTGGTTGCTTTCTGGAGGTTTTGGATAATTCTGGTATACGGAGCTCTGAAGCAAGGGTCTGGAGAGCTGAGGTGAGGCAAAAAGCTAGGAGTTTATTGTAAGTTTGTGACTTTTGCCTGCGTTTTGCCCAAGAGGAAATGGCTGATGTGAAGGATAACATGTGAAGGGGCTTACACAGCATGTGCCCCAAGGCTGTCTGCGATGTATTGTTCCCTGGCCCATTTCTCCTGCGTGTGATGCTTCCATGTGGCCCCTTTGTCTTTTCTGTCCTCTCTCACCTCTGCCTCCCTTCCTTCGTCCACACCACAGGCCTCGATGACTTTCACCTGTCCATCCACAGTGACATGGCCACCATTGTCAAAGCCATGGCCTCACCAGAGTCAGGCCTCGAGGTGCGTGACCGCATGTGGCTGAAGATCACCATCCCCAACGCTTTCATTGGTAAGAGACTGTACTGCCTGCAGCAGAGGCAGGGACTGGGGAATGGGTGGCCTGTTTTCCAAGCAAATGTCCAAGGGAGCATCCCTGTCACCGTAAACTAACTGTTGACCAAGCCAGAGTCACAAATTGAACCTTTGGCTGTGTGACCCCTTTTCACCTTTGGCCCACTTTGTCTTGGCTCTAGTGGGGCTTGCTGCCTCAAGAGCCACTGTCTTCCACTCTTTTGCCACATCTAACTCTACGTTTGGTGGCAGGTTCAGACGTGGTGGATTGGCTCTATCACCACGTGGAGGGCTTTACAGACCGCCGTGAATCCCGCAAATATGCCAGCAATCTGCTGAAGGCTGGCTACATCCGACACACCGTGAACAAGATCACCTTCTCGGAGCAGTGCTACTACATCTTCGGCGACCTCTGTGGAAGTATGACCCTTGGCATGGGTGGGAGGGAGAGAATGGCCGGTTAGAGGTCCTGCAGAGCCCTGATGACACTATGGGAACACAGTTACAGCCATTGCCGTCAGGCTGGGTCCCTTGTTCTACAGACTTTGTTAAGAGGGCAGTAAAGAATATCCCAGCTCCCTTGTCATGCTGCTGGGGTAGTGAAGTTGGAAGCAGCATTGACAGTGTCACCTACTCTGAGATCTTTTCTCTTGGGCAGCTCTGGCAGAGTCTTAGTCTTTACTGACTGTCTCCAGGCTCTGAACTTTCAGTGCTGGCAAGGAGCTGGTGCTCAGGCAACTGGGTTCTATTCAGATAAGAGGGATGGGGAAAGGAATTGGCGTGGTGAGCCTGTAGCTCTGGTGTGGTTCTTTCCCACCAAGCTGGTTCCTGTATTAGAATGGCAGCTTGGACTCGGCCAGCCTGGCTGTTGTCCAGCCAGGAAGCACAAATGGTGGCACTGACTAGCAAGTAGAGTGCCAACTTCTCATGTCTCCTTGCATATTCTGTCCTTGTCCTTCAGCAAAGATTGGATGGAGAGCTGCTTCATCACACATGGTTGTCTTTCTGCTTGGATTAACCCCTGTTCTCTGCTTTCTTGCAGACATGGCTAATCTCTCTCTTCATGATCACGACGGCTCCAGCGGTGCCTCCGATCAGGACACTTTGGCTCCGCTCCCCCATCCAGGAGCCGCACCCTGGCCTATGGCTTTCCCGTATCAGTATCCACCACCTCATCCATACAACCCCCATCCTGGCTTCCCTGACCCAGGCTACAGCTACGGAGGGGGCAGTGCAGGCAGCCAGCACAGTGAAGGTGAGTAAAAGGGACTAAAATATGCCTGAGGGTGGGCAGGTGCCCTGTTCAGTACTGGGAAGCAGCAGGAAAAGGCTTAGGTGAGGTCTTATGTGAGGGGAGCCAGGGCAAAAGCCACCTCAGAAGGATCGTGGGACTTGGAGATGAAAAGAGACTGAAAGCACAGACTGTGCTGGCAGATGGCTGTGCTGGAGTGTGCTGTAGTTCTTTCTTGGCCAGAGGAGCATCCGCTCTTCCTGACTTGTCTGAGCTGCCACCTAACCTTGCCTGGTGTGCTTTGCAGGGAGCCGAAGCAGTGGTTCCAATCGCAGCGGCAGCGAGAGGAGGAAGGAGAGAGAGAAGACCGGGGAGTCGAAGTCAGGCGGCAGCGGGAGCGAGTCGGACCACACCACGAGGAGCAGCATGAGGCGCGAGCGCGCGGCCAGCGAGCGCTCGGTGCCGGCCAGCCAGCACAGCCAGCGCAGCCAGCACTCCCTGGCTCACAGCATCCGCAGCCACCACAGCCAGCAGTCCTACGGGCCGCCCGGCCTTCCCCCTCTCTTCAGCCCCCCCATGTTGCTGATGCCTCCACCACCTTCAGCCATGGGGCCCCCCGGGGCGCCGCCGGGCCGTGACCTGGCCTCTGTGCCCCCCGAACTGACAGCCAGTAGACAGTCCTTCCGAATGGCCATGGGCAACCCCAGTGAGTTCTTTGTGGATGTAATGTGAAGCGCCCGTCCCCTGTCTGTCTGCTGCCCCTCCTTCCCCCCTCCATCCCCGTCGTTTGTTTCCTAGGACCAGCCCTGGCTTCACCCCTTTTTTTGGTTGGTTTTTTTTTTTTTTGGTTTTGTTTTTCTTTTTTATTTTGTTCTTTTTTTTTTGTCTTGATAACGAAAAGAAAAAAAAGGGAAAAAAAATAATAAATGGAACTAAACCTTGATTCTAATCCCTCCTCGAGTGGGGTGGACAGGCCTGGCAGGCCTGCTGGGTGCTGCCAGCCCATCCCGCCACCAGACTTGTGTATTGCCAATGGTAATTCCCTCCTGCCATCCTCTCTAACCCCATTAATCTGCATCCATCCCAGCGCCCTGTGCTGCTTGCCCGTGTGTCGCTGCTGCCTCGGTCCTTCCGCCCTAAATATCTCTTCTTTCTTTTCACCCTTTTGTGTTTCTTCTATCAAGCAGCAAAGAATTACGGGGTGTTTGACTTTCTCTGAGCCTGCCGCCCGTGGGGGGGAGAGCTGGAGCGTGGCGTGGCCCGACAGCAGGACACGGAGCTCCAGGGGCGCTGGGCACGCATGGCGCTGAAGATGGCTTCTTTCCTCCCCCTCGCGGAAGATGCCCTGCCCTTCCCACAGCCTTGAGAGGGGAGCAGGGACCAGCCTTATATATGTATTTTAAATCCCGTTGTAGTTGCCTTTTGGCTAATGCATGAATGTTCCAGGGCTTCAGTGCCTCTGGGGAGTGGGGAGATGCTGCCACTTCCCTCTTGCCTCCCTTCTCTTGCCCACATATTGGGCCAGGTCCAAGCTTGACACTACGCCATGGCAGGACCCTCCTTTTCCTTGCCCAGGCCACGAGGCTCAGGGCTGGGGCTGTACCTCTGTGTCCAGCCCGGAGCAGTGGTGAGTGCCTGTGCTCAGTCTCTTACGTAGCTCAGTGCCCTACGCCTGCCCTTGGGTACTTTGGGGGCATTTAAGGGCAGAGCTCTGCTCCCTCCATCCTGCTCTTTGTCCTCCTGCCTGCGATGTGCTGCTGCCTGTCCCGTTTGTAGGGGCTGTCCCATGCCTGGGTCTGGCGGTGGCAGCTGTGGCCTTCTCCCTCCTGCTGTCGTGCTGCTCAGCAATGTGATACCTTCAAGGGTCTGGACAGACTTAGAAGGCAAGGAAGGGGCACAACTGGTTTGCTTTCATGCTTTGGGGGAACGTGGAGGTCCCCTGTATTTGCCCTACGAAGGGCCTGAGTCTGCCTCCCCCTCTGCCCAGTGCCATGAGTGCTGCTGGCCTGGCTGCCAGGAGGGATGAGGCTCTGGGACAGCCCTGCTCCCTCTGGGCTGTGAGTGGTGCCTGGTGGCAGCACAAGCTCTCTGGGAAGGGAGACTCTGGCCTGAACTGTGGCTCAGCGCCCACCGATCTACCAGAACAGTTGAGTCTCTGCTCCAGCGCTCCCTGCCCTTCTTCTTTCCTCTTCTGGGTACTCAGAGATGTGCCTTGGGCTGGGGCAGCCCCTTCCCCATGCCCAGGGCCAAGCACGGTACAGTATGAACATGCTCAACCCTGCTGCTGTTGGTGCTGGCGCCTCGGCGCCCTCTCCTCCTGCCACACCGTGGCTTTCACCAGGCAACTGTTGCCTCCTTTGGTCTTTCTTGTGTTTGCGATTTTTATATGATGGAGATTAAATGTATTTTGCTCCTTGGGGGTCTGTGTTGCCCTTGCAGCCCCTCTGCCAGACCTTACTCACCATCAGTTCATCTCCCTGACTCCTCTCCTTCCCCTCTGCCCGCTGGAGTCCCCAGCAGCCTCCCTGGCCACTGCTCACCCCTTGCCCTGCCCTACCCACCGGGTTTTATAAAAACAACACCAATCTCCTTGTTTTTATTTATAAACATAGTTTTATTGGACTCCTGCCTTGTGTCGTTCGTTGTTTTTTCCTCCCCCATCCTCTTCTACCCTCCTGCCTTTTGCTCTAAAGGGAGATCCCGGCGGGATGAGGGCACTCTCTGCCGGTGTTCCAGCTGCCTCTTGGCGAGGTGCCGATGGCTGCTGCGGTCTGAGCCATCGCCAGGCCCGGCCTCCTCCTTCCCCTCCCTGCGCAGCGGATCCTGTCCGCGGGCGCTCGGGGCTCCCGGGGTCCCCGTTTCCAGCGGGGAGAACCAGGGGCTGGTTCCACCGCGGGCGCAGCGCTGCGAGGGCGGAGGGGGGGGATGCCTGTGCGCGGGGCCCGCGGGAGCCAGCAGCTTCGCAGAAGGGCACGGCGACCGCAGGCCCGTGCGCGGGGGCCGCAGCCTCCTGCCCGTGCGCTCCCCCCGCCCGTCCCCGGGCTGAGCGCGGCCGCCATGCTGCCCTTCCCTGACTACAGCTCCCGGCATGCCCAGCGCGCGCACACGGCCTTCCCGCCCCCGCCTAGCGGCCCCACCTCCCACCGCGGCGCATGCGCGGTGGGCGGGCGCGGGCGGGGCGCGCGCGCGGCGGCTCTGCAGTGCGCGGGGGGGCGCGGGCTGAGGGGGGGCGGCGCCGCCATCTTGGGCGCGGGGCGGCAGCGGCGGTGCCGGCGGCAGGTGAGGAGCCCTCGGGCCGCGCTCCGCTCTCCCCGCCGGGCTGCGCGGCCTCCGGCCCTCCGCCGGGCGGCTGCCTGCGCCCAGGCTCTCTCTGCCGCGAGCGGCCGGACGGTAGCCGAGTCGCCGCGGGTGGCGGCTCCGTGGGCGCTGGCCGAGGGTGGGGGTCCGCGGGCCTTCCCCGGGGCGGGAGGTGGCTGCGGGGCGAGGTCCCCACCGGCTGCCCTTGGGGACGGGAGCGGGAGTGGGTCCGCGGACGGGAGGGAGGGTGGAAGCACCCGGGAGGGCTTTTCTTCAGCCCCATCTAAGGGGGTGCTGGGCGACCCCGTTGTCGCACATTGTTTGAGGCTCAGGGGGCTTATTAAATGCTTCTGTTAACGAGCTCTCCGCCGGGAATACCTGTGGGGCAGCCCTGCGGTGCTGCACCAAGTGAGGGTGGGGACGGAGTCAGGCTGTGTGTGGCACAGGAAGGCCGGCACCGATGCGTCAGGTCAGCCTGAGCAAAGGTTTTTTTCAGTCAGATCTGGCCGGAACTTCACCGAAAATTATTTGTCCCTACTGCTGATCCAAACGTGAATTAGGTGGGTCATGGCTTGCACCCTTTGCTTCCTCCCTGGAAAACCTGCTGAGGCAGAACGCAGCGCCGCTGATGCTGAGCTGCTTGTTCTGAGGCTTAAAGCAGGCTCCCATCCAGCAGCTCTCCTAGATGGGTTTCCACTTCCATTCTTCCCTGGGCTAGGTTTTTGGATTCGGGAAAACTGCAGGAAGCACAGCCCGTGTTTATTGCCCAGTGCAGTTGACCTCTCTCTCCACTGGGAAATGACTGGCTTTTGATCCAGTCTTCTCTCTGTAAGCTATGTGAGTCCATGATCTGTTTTCTGCTTGCTTTAGTATGACAAAGCTGCTATCAAGTTTTAGCCTCAGGCTGCCAAAATCTGAGCCTGGAACTTTCCCAGATAGGTGAGTCTGGATGGCTTCTGTGGCTCAGAAGTCTAGGTATTGCAGGCTTTTAACTGTATATGGGCTCATGTGGTGTCTGGTTGGGCAATGTTTGCTTGAATGCTGTCAGAGCTGTAGCTACTCTTTTTTTCCTACAGTAAAAGCTGTGTGTGTTCCTGTGAGTTTTGCTTGGAGGGACAATCTCAAATTTGAAGAGATACTGCCAATCTGTCTACTTCCATATTTTTCCTGTCAGAAGGGAGGCATCACTCCTCTTCTGTAGGAAATACCATCTTACTGACATCTAGTGACAAAGATACCTGGTGTTCTTTGGGCTGCAGAGTGGCCATGTTCCAGGGAGAGGACTGGAGATGCCTTTGAAGGGTATCATGGCTGGTTCCTCCTCCTGAATGAGAGAGCACAGTGCTGGTCCTTGGAGAGTTGAGTCTTGAGGCTGTGCAGGGTTACATCTTGAGTTCTTTCAAACAAAGAGGACTGGAAATGCACTCTAGCTTGATGCTATCTCTGTTGGTTTTTTTGGGTGTGGGTTTTTTTGGTTTTTTTTTTTTTTGATGGAGCAGGAACAATCACTAAACAAAATGGGCTTTGTAAAGAAACTTCCTGTGACCCTTAATTAAACTTTTCTTGTCTCATCCCTGCATCAAGAAGTAGTAAAGCCCAGAGTGTCTTTTGCAGCACAATGTCTTGCACTGGTTTTTTAACTGCTGAAGACCATTAGAGTGTTTAAAGGCTGTTCTTAGGGTTAACTGGAAGATGGAGGGAAGTGCAGCCTCTGGTGCCAAAACATAATTGGTCTGAAAGGCAGAGTCAGCTTCTCTCCTTTAGTGAGTGACCTATGGAGTCAAAAGTTACTGGCAAGTCCTGTATTATTTTGATCTTCGTGGGAGGTTGGCAGCTCAGCTAAAAGCTTGCAGGCAGAGGCACAGAATGTGAAATGCAGTTATCTACTCTCCAGTAACAGTAGAGAGAGAAATGCTGGCAAGTCAGGTCACCTAGACCATTAGTGGTCTGCAGACTACAAGCTCTAACTCAAACTGCACTCTGTACCTCTACCCTCTTCTGTCAGGAGACGAATAGAAAGCAAGTTACTGTTCAGGTTTCCAGCTCAGGATTGAAAAGCAAGCAGAATTTGCTTTAGACTGGCTTCAGAACTGGTAGAAATAGAAGGCATTGGGGCCATTCAGATAAGGTTGGGCTCAAGATAAGGTGGAGAGGTGTGTTAAATGCTGTTCCTGTGATGTTTTACCAGAGTAAGGGAGCTTCTCGTCTTTCCTCATGTCAGTATTTATCTCCTGTTACTCTTCAGACTGGCTGCGTGCGGTACAGCACACAGAAGGAGGCTGTAGGAGGAGAGCCTGGTAAGAGAACATGCTTTTCTTCCTGCCCACTGGCTATGGGGATTTATGGGATTGGGTTTAAAATAGGGACAGTTTCTCTGAAACTGATGGGTTTATCTCAGGAGCTCTTTAGCTCAGGGTATGCCCCTTAAGTAAATTATGCAGGCTGTCTTCTCCAGGATGAAGTGATTGCAACTACTCTTGTTTAAAACAAAGTACAGCCCGTGGCCTCTGGGAAAGTGACTAATGCAGCCCTCTAAGCAAAGCTTAGGTGCTTGGATTAGCTGGTGGGGTGATGGCATCGTTATGAGCCTTAAGCCTTTCGGGTAGATATTGGCTAGCACTAGCCTGAAAGGATGGGTTTTCCCAGCAAGTCCAGTTTGCCAAAGCAGCCTGACTAATCCCCCTCCTGCTTCAACTGTTGTCACTTGTCCAAGATCATACTGATTTCTGGAATGCAGAAATGGTTGCAGTTGGTGATTTGCCCTCAAGAGCTTCAATACCTCTCTTGGTTTCTTCCTGGACGAGAACTTGAGCAGCTAATGTACCTTGAACTGCTTAGTTAGATAAGCTCATTAATGCACAGAAGTCTTACTTGCTGTTAAGTCAGAACCCAAACTGTCTTTTAATAGACTACTAAAGGGGTTGGTTGGTTGCTTTACACCAGCTTATTCTCTGACTTGTGATTGCTGTTTCCTGGATGTGCTCTGTAGATTACAGAAATCAGCATTCCTTTTTTCATTCAGAGTAAGTCATGTCTGTGCTATGGGAAACTTCCAGCCCCTTAATGGAAGTGACAAAGTCCAAGTAGCTGGGTCTTGGGCACTTCTGGTCATCTTGTGTTTATTTGTACCCTGTACTGGATGGCACAGGGGATTCAGTGAAGCTCGTGGCCTGTATCGCCGTGGGGCTATGACCAAAATGGCTCTGCAGATGAGCAGGAGTCCCCTCAGCCCTGCTCATCCAGCCTCAGTGGCTTGCTCTGTCAGTGGCTGGTTGAAGGTAACTGGCAGACTGTGTCTCGTGCTTATTTTTCCCACTTGTAGTGCCAGACACTTTCCTGGAGAGGTCTTTCGGTGGTGAGGATAGCACCTGCATAGCTGGCTTTGGAAAAGACGCTCTGATCCCAAAGTTGCCTCCTAAAATGAAAGGACAAATGCACTCTGCACCATCGGGGTGCTACTGGTACTCATCAAATCCTGGGGCTGTTGGGGTCATAGTGTGAACCTGTAGTTACATTCTTACACTGACAGCATAAGAACTCCTGTCTCTGCAGTGACACCGCTCCTGAGCAGTTATTCTTGAGCTGCCGTGTCACCACTGCACCTCTGAAGAGAGGACACAGAGGATTTGCTGATCAGACGCCATGAGAGCAGCCAGACATGGCTCAGGAGTTCCACAGGTTCTGCTTGCATTGGGCTTAGAGAAACTGGTGTGGAAGGATACAAACAACTGTGCTTTCCTGAGGCAGAAGTGCCAATATGCACCCCAAATTTATGGTGACTCTGGTACCATTAGGCTGTAGGCACATTATATTGATAATGACATGTTTCCTCCACACAGCACCTCATTCTTGTAGAGCTAGAACAACTAAGTATCTCTTGTCTTTGACCTGCAGCTGCAGTTACTGCAGCCATGTTCATCTTACCACTGCAGAAAACTGACTAAAAATTCACTGGTTTTCCTCAGCAATGAATTTGAGCAGATTTGTTTGTTTGTTTTCATTTGTGCAAATACAGTTACAAAAGGCAGAGAACTGTGTTCCAAAGCATGTGATACAGGTTGAAGCTACCCCTGTCCCTGCTGGTGCAGGGAAGGATTAATTGTCTACGTGGTGTCATCTGAAAGATCTCAGGTTATGGGACAAATTCGAGAATATAACTTGTTTGAATATCTGTATCTGGGACTTGGGCTAGAATTTAGTTTTGTCTTTCATACTCTAATGAATGGATGACTGGTACTACAGTGGTGTTTTGTTACTGGTCTTGTTACTGGTGTAATGCTATGGCTTCTCAAGTAGGAACACCATGGGAGACTAATGCACTGGAC